TCTCAGCAGCAAAACTCTCTTTGAAAAGCACTTTTTGCTTATATTCTCAACGCTCAAGGTCATGTCAGCAAGTCAAAATGTCAGGATTAGAAGATTGAGATGGCGTGTCTAACAATGATATATGCCTAAAAAAGTAAGGATTACTGTACACTGTGTAAAATTATGTGTAATAAAGTCAAAGTAAATAGAGGTACTGCAGTAGAGATGGCTGAGAAAAAAGAGTAAGAGAAAGAATAGTACAATGTCAACTTCCTTTTTGATATTGTTCATGTATGACAGGCATTTAGTAGCATCCGCACTTCGAATCGACCAGCTACTGCTGTCTTTAAATTATATGTGATGGTGTGTCTGTTCTATCCCCTCCGAACACTACCTCTCTAAGTCCAAAATACACTTGTATCGCTTGTTTTCTTAAAACAATATATAATATATACGATTTTGGACTGTTTATTTATTGTATCAACAGAAAGTTACTTTTCGGTTTGCTTTGAAGTACATTGGTTTTCGTGAAATTCTGCCATTGCTTCATCTATCTCATCCATGACGTCTCTTAGATATAAGTATAAGTACTTGTAGTCGTCTATTAAGCCTTCCTTAATCTTGCCTGGGTAAGCCTTACACATCGCCCTGTACTGCTCAACTTTTGCCAAGATTTCTTCATCGGATGGGTGTGGAGAGAATTCTGTGTGGCTTACTGACATGGAGATGAATGTTTTGTGATAAAGAGAGAGAGAAAAAGTTTTGTGTAGCATTTAATATTTATACACTCTGTTGTACTTACAGCTTTATTCTACGTCGGAGGTAAACAGTGAAGCCACATTTTGATCGTTTGAATGCTAGAAGACAATGGTGCATATGCATTACCAACTGTTTTTATATAAAAACTATTAGTAACAAATTTTTTGTTGGTAACAAAAATTTAAATTAATTATAAAATTGAATTTTATTTTTAAATAAAAACAAAATCATCCAAAGATTTAAATTATTTATAAAATTGAATTTTATTTTTAAATAAAAATAAAATCATCCAAAGGTTTAATAATGGTTGCACTTAATGATTATCTCCCACTTAATCATATTCAAATTCAAAAAAATTTATGTGAAGAAATAAATATTTTTATGGAATCTGAATTTGATCATTTCTTAGAAAACGAAAAAAAATTAATAAAACAAATTCAAAAAAAATTAGATAAAAAAATAAAAGAAACATTTTCGTCAGATTATTTTCTATACCTTAGTATGAATAATGATTTCTGTACGCATAAGTTCAAAAAAGGAAAACATAAGGGTAGATTCTGTTCCCGTAAGATTAAAACTAATATACCTGAAGGTACTAAAAAAGATTTTCTTTGTTGCAAATATAGTAAATTACATATTCCTAAAAAACGGACAGTATTAAATAATAGTAAAGATATAGAAATTAAAAAGCTACCTATAAAAATTGAAAAAAAAAATCAAAAAAAAAAAGAAAACCTATAAAAATAAGTATAGGTAATCCTTTTTTTCTATGCTTTAATAATATTCTTCCATAAATGTTTTATATAATATTATATAATGTTTTTTATAATATACCTAGACTATGTTTTTTAATATATGCTTTTAATAATTCTTTTTGATTAAATATATCAATAGATAACCAGCTATTATCATTATCACTATATCCAACCCATTTTACATGAAATAAATATATGTTATTTTCCTTTTTATGTCCAACAATACTTTCTATTTCATATGATGCAGTTGCACGCTGTTTACCTTTTATATTTCTTCTTCTTTTTCTAGTACGCTCATTAAAATTAGGAATATCATTATCATTTTCACTATTTTCTAATTCATCTGATTCACTATCATTATCTATATCCATTGTATTATTTGATATTGTCATATTTAATAAATCATTTTGTAGTTGTACCATTCTATCAAGTTTATCTTTATTTTGTTTATTATTACTAACAACTATATCAATTAATTTTTTTTCAATAGGAAAATCAAAATCATGACTATGCCATAATTTGTGGTGAGGTAAAACAGGTATATTAAATAATTCAACGAATTTTGTAATATTCTTTAATAAACAAGCTACACGAAATTGGAGGTTATAAAATTTAATATTATCTATTTTTACAATTGATTTATTATTATTAAATCAATAAAATTTATTGCCAATTTCAGAAAACTGATTTTCAATTTTACTTCTAAAGCTTCCAAATGTATTATTAAAATGTTCTTCAGTAATAGTTAGATTTTCATTTATATTTTTACATATTGGATAAACAAAGTTATTATTGTTAAAATCATATCCTTTTTCTGTAGCAATTTCAGTAAATTGTGTTATAAATAAGGTATACCCACCATCAACTGCTAAAGTATCATTTTAATTTATTTTATTATAAAGTTTCATATTTAAAAACATGCTACCATCAGAACTATCTATACAAAAATCACTTTTTGATATAAAAATTATCATATCATTAACATCAGCAGCAAATTGTGTACGTAAACCATTTTTTTTAAATTTATATGAATATAAGCGTGACCTATCTAAATCTGTATCTGTATAATTAATTCGTGAATCATGACCATCTAAAATAAGTGTTACATGTTTAAACAAATCTGGATTATATTTTCTAGCAGATAAAATACATAACTTTATATTCGAAAAGATATACATCAATGAATCATTTACTATTTTATTAATTCTTTTATAATTCTCTTTATTCATCCAAAATTTTTTATAAAATGTATGAAATGTGCTTTGAGGTAAATATTTTTCAATTTCATCTCTAGAAATACCTGAAACCAAATGATATAGTAAAAATAAACCTTTTTCTACCTCAAAATAAGGAGCTGGATACTCTTTACTTGTATATAATATAACTAAGAAAAAAAAGACAGTAGTATAACCTAATTTTTGTGATAATATATTTTTAATTTTTTCAATAAATTTAATATGTTTAATTTGTGTTCTATGTTTAAATTTATTATGTATAATAGGCCAATTCCATTCAAGAAATGTCCAATAATTAGCAATAATAGTATTTACTTCTATTGTAATTAATGGTGTATAATCTATTTGCTCCATTTTTTATTTATATCATAAAATTCAATTTATATATAAAAAAATAATTATTTTTATTAAAAATAATTATGTTTTTGTAACCAATAAGGTAATGCAGAACCCATAATGCTGTAATGGTTACACGGTCGCCATGGCAACGAAAAAGCGTTATGGACAGATGGACATATCGAACGCGTAAAGAGACTGTGAAGGAAAGAAAGGAGGAGGAGATTGAAAAGATTTCCTTTTTTATGAGTTATAAATCGTAAAACTGAAGGATTTTAATAAATAGATAATTAAGGATTAATCTTCTGTATTGCACTGTCTTCTATACTTTGATCCCGTTTCACAGACAATAGTCGAGTGTACTGTATGTACAATATGCTCTATAGGACAGCCGAGTGTGTGGCTACCATATGGAAAGATGATGGAACCTTGACTAAGGAGCATTTGACCAACATAGAGAGTTGCCTCAAAAAGATAGTGGTGCACCTACTATACAACATTGCCCACAGCTGTATTGCGACTGGATCTGCTAGAATGATATCAGATGAATAGAGTCATGGACTATTGCACTCTCGCTGTCATTGTTGAAGGGAAGATTATCTGAAGAAAAGATGACATACTGGTTGCTCTTTGTCACGGCAGCATGTCTCCTGTATAAGCTATCCATCACTATTGTCAAAACGAGGAAGCCTACCAACTGCTGCTCAAATTTGGCTGCGACTTTTCAAGATTGTACTCTAGAGATAGAGTCATGCTAAATATGCATTTGTATATTCACCTCTGCAATATAGTACTCAATTTTGGCAGCTGCTATAACATGTGAAAATTCAGCTTTGAGTGGTTCAATAAGATCATCAAGAACTAGTACACTAATCAAAAAGACCGTTTCAAGCTCACTTATATGACGAAGTTCTTGAGTGTTGTGTTTGCTGATGACATAGTCTAGTGAGTCGTGGCTGAGTAGTATAGTAAACTAAGATCCGGTACAAACAGATGTCTTGATAGAAAGTTTCTTTTTACTGCACTGGGATCCAATAAGGGAGTTAATCATTAATAATTAAATGTTCAACAAATCTTGATTTGTTAGAACTTTAATTAATTAAAATTAACAGTGAATTATAAAAAATAAAAATAAATTTTTTTTTAATTTTTTAGACTTTTTTTTTAATTTTGAGAAATGTTACATTATATATTGATTTTTAATTTTTCATTCTTTATTATAAATTTTGAATCTAAAAAGTTATTTTATAATAATTTTTTTAATTATTTTTATTTTATTTTAAAAGATTATATTAATTTCTTTTTTTACTATATTTTCAAATGTTATACAAATAATAATTTTTAATTAATATTATTTTATTATTAAAAATTATAACTCCGCAATCTATTTATAGTACTTAATATATTATAATATATAGCTAAATTTATTAATTCCCATATGTTTCTCTTTGTAAATCTAAATATAATTATTATAAATGTTATTAATCAGTAGACAAGGAGGAACCAACATAGCCTGGAGAATCGAAGATTCGGAGCTTGACCTCTAATAAAATAATAAATTAATTTACTGTTTATAGCAAAATTAATTATTACTATTTAGAACCCTAAGGGACATAGTTGCGGACATGCACCTAGCTAGATTGAAATGTGAATCCTTCATATAATACAGTAAAGAAACTAAGTATGAAACAACTGTCTAAGAACACATCTCAAACCATCATAAAAGTTTTTAATTCGTTCTTGCAGCAAAGCACTAATAAGGTCCTTGCTGACAAAGAAGTTGATAAGCTTTCTACCTTCAGATCTGTTTCTCTATTAAGACCGAGTTCTCAAACAATGTTTGAAAATTAGATATAAAAGAAGATAGTTTCTATAGCTGATATTGTACTTCGTTCAATCTTTTGAATATAATCCATTTTCAAACGACTTATTTGTGTTTGTTTATTTCGATTTACCACATTTTTTCGTTTGAATTACGGAACAGCAATCATCACTATAGACACTACTTTCTAACCGAACACCAGGAATCATTCAGATCCTATTATGCCTTATTCAGAAGCCCAGTCTTCTGTTTCTATGGATGTTGACCAAGTTCAACAATAGGAACAGCTTAAGGAAAACCCAAGCAGTAACCCATGGACACCCAACCAATAGGACAGTGCTGACCTTATCAAGCCTGACCAACTGGGTCCAGACACTGACCCACAAGTAGTTCGTACCTACTTAGAACAGCAAGTTCACCTGAAAGAGGCATACCTACAAAGCCTGGTTACTTGCCCTGACCAACAAGCTTTCTTAGCCACTAAAAGCAACTATGAAAACTGGAAAGAAAGGCTTAACACAATGAAATCTCTTTCCGACAAGACACTAGATGATGCCAAAGTTGCACATTTAGTTCCCAAGAACTTACCTGTGTTCAACCTTCGAGGACACACCACGTTTGCCAAAGGGAAGTCATATGACTCACCTGAGCAGTTCTTCGATGACTTTGCGTATGTGCTAGAAGCACATTCGATCAATGTCAAAAATTACTGGAAGAGGTTGATGCCACTGACTTATAATGCCACAAGACGTGCTTGGTTAGTTAAAACCATGCAACGGCATGACATGAACTGAACCAAGCTTCGAGAAGAGTTTTGTCGTGCGTTTTCTTCTCTATACCAAGTTTACTACCAATGCTATAAGATGCGCACATTGACCCAGAACAGCAATGAGGCGCTGTGAGAATCTGCAAACCGGTACTTGGAGCTTGCCTGCTCGTCTGGAATACCTGACAACGAAGAGTTAGGATATGGTTTCTTATCATCTTTGAATAAGAAGTACTGCCAATGTGCGTGGAACGTTGCTGCAAACCACTTTGGTTTACAGTTTCCCAGTACACTGGACGCTGTTATACAAGCAGTCTTGACTTTGGCTGAGGGCGAACCTGCAACTGCTTCAGACCAAGACTCTGAAGAAAATGAAGATTACAACAAAAAGAGGAAGAAAAACAAACCCAGCAATTTTGTTTCCAAGAAAACTCGTTATACTGGTGAAACACGCGCCCCTATGACCAATCCTTGTAAATTTTGCAAGAAAGTGCAATTCAAATTTGGTCACAAGTGCCCCGAAATGCGTGAGGCCAGAGCCACCAGAACAATGCGTGCTCGAATGAGTCGTATTGAAAAACAAACAAGATATCTTTCGATAAATGAAAATGAACTTGATCCCAAAGATAAAAAGGGTAAGCAGAAAAAACTGCAGCATACTAATTCACAGCAAGATAATAATCAATTGTCTATTATGGTACCCATTGTCTTGCAAAATAGACCAGTGATGGCACTCCTCGATACTGGAGCAGACAAATCATTCATAGACAAAAGTTTAGTAAACAAAATAAACTTAAAAAGTGTAGCACCTGAAAATGATGGTCATATTATTCTTGCTATAAAAGATATAACCATACCTCGAAAAGGTAGTGTTAACAACATAAAAATCCAATACAATAACAAAACGGCTATACATACCTTTGAAGTCATGTCTCTTTCTGAAGATATACAAGTGACTATTGGTTTAGACTTGATGACGAAGCTAGGCATTGGTATTACAGGTCTGATCCCTTATTGGAACAAGCCCATAAGTAATGAAGAGTCTGATTTCAGTATTTTCGACGAAATCAAACCCAATGATTCTCCAGCAGGATCACCAAGTGAACACAAAGCTTTTTTTAACTCCATCCAACGCTATTTGGATGCCAATACGGCAATTCTGAAAACATTATTCTGCACAGTGCCAGAAACCATTGTTGAATTACCAATACCACCAGGTATTACTTCCTACAGAAGACAATATGATCTACCTGTGGCTTCAGAAAAAATAATAGAAGGGCAAATTCGAAAGTGGGCAGAGGATGGCACTATTGAGCCAGCACCGGTAAATACTGCATGGAATAGTCCTTTAACTTTAGCTCCAAAAAAAGATGCCAATGGCAAATACACTGGCAAGCGACCTTGCTTTGATCTAAGGCATATAAAAAAGCTACTACCGGATGATCGTTATCCTCTACCTCTCATCCGAAATATATTCCATAAAATGAAAGGAGCAACTGTATTTACAACGCTCGATTTGAAAAATGCATTTCACCGATTTCAGATACATCCTGATGATCGTCATAAGACTTCTTTTACTTTCTAAAACCGTCAATGGTCTTTTGCCGGAGCTCCGTTTAGATTAAAGCCCTTGAGCAATAAGTACCAGCGCGTGATGCATCTGGTGTATAGCCAGCAGCAAGAGCACGTGAACTGCTTTGTGGATGATGTTGTTGTCTTCTCCAAGAGCTTGGAAGAACATCGCGAACATGTAGCACAAGCTATTGAAGCATTGACCAAGGTCAATCTCATATTAAACCCTTACAAGTGCCATTTTGCTCAAAGATCTGTATATCTTTTGGGATTTTGCGTTTCCGATTAAGGTGTTACCCTAAACACGCGCAAAGTATCAAATATGCACGAATGGCCTATACCTAGAACATGCAGAAATATACAACAGTTTCTAGGTGTTGTGAATTATTTTAGGTCAATCTCATCTTAAACCCTTACAAGTGCCATTTTGCTCAAAGATCTGTATATCTTTTGGGATTTTGCGTTTCCGATTAAGTATTACCCTAAACACGCGCAAAGTATCAAATATGCACGAATGGCCTATACCTAGAACAGGCAAAAATATACAACAGTTTCTAGGTGTTGTGAATTATTTTAGGGACCATATCCCTAATATATCACATATAACTGCACCTTTGGATGCACTTCGTAATGCTGGATCCATTGTACGTCTATAGAATAATAAGCATCAAAATGCGTTTGGTACCTTACGCAAAATACTTTTACAAGCACCCATTTTACGTTATCCAGACATGAGCTAGCCATTTTATCTAGCCACTGATGCTTCCAATATGGGTATTGGCAGCGCTTTATATCAAATAATTGATGGCGAAACTCGTCATATTGGGTTTGCTGCACGAACACTTTCTAAATCAGAAAGAAACTATAGCATAACACGTAGAAAACTGCTAGCTTGCGTTGTAGCTTTACATCGATGGCATAAATAGACCTGGGGCTCCAAATTTACCCTATTAACAGACCATTGCACCCTCACTTTTTTGCATACACAAAAAATAGCCAATGCAATGATGATTGGTTGGTTTGACACACTTCTCGAATATGACTTCGATATTGTACATCTACTTGGTTTAGCCAACATCTTACCTGACCAGTTGTCACGCCTTTTTCCGATGGATAAAGAGCTGGAAGGGGTGATGAGGATCAGCTAAGCTTAGAACAATCTAAGCCAGCAACAGTACTACAACGAGCAGTAACTAGAGCTGTAGCTGCTAGAACTGATTACAAAGCACAACAGAAACAGAACTATACGTTAAAAAGAATGCTGGATAAAACAACTGCTAAAAAGGTTTTAACCAACAGAGAATCACTATACAAAGATATGTTAGAACCGCCAATGAAGGCTGTTTAATACTTTATTGATTTTTTAATTTTTAATATTATTTTATATATTTAAGTTTTAAGTTTTACTTTTAAATAATAAAAAATGATCAATATAATTAGGGGTGGTCAGAGAAAATCTTTGATTTTCGATGACGTGGGTAGCTGGTCATTGAGACGGTAGTCGAAACCCTAGAATAATGGTAGTTATTCTAAACACTTGCCTACAAGTGCCTCATGAACAGTGTTCAATTGAAGAAAGAACAAATCTATTAGAAAAAACACATGTATTCAGACACTTCAGAGCAGAGGCAATAGCAAAAGCCCTGCATAGTGACAGTATACATTGGAGCACCAACTATCAAGATGCAGCATTGATCGTAAAGAAATGCCCTGAGTGTCAAAAGTTTAATATTACAAAAGCAGGATACATCCTCTACATCCCATACATGCATATTTACCATGTGATCATTGGGCCATAGACCTAGCAGGACCATTCAAAACAACTTTCACTGGTAATAATTATCTAATGGTCATAGTGGATGTTTGCACACGCTTTTGCATTTTACGCCCCATACCAAATGAGCAATATGATACCATTGCGAAAAAGTTAGTTGAAGTGTTTTGTGATTTCGGTTTTCCCCGTTACTTACAATCAGATAATGGAGCTGAGCTCGTCAATTCCATCATAAAGAAGCTAACAACAGTCACTATACTGGATCATAGACTTAGTACACCATATCACCTGCGTGGAAACAGAGTTTCTGAGCGTTGGGTCTCCACAACAGCTGATGCATTGAAAAAGAGCATTAGAGGAGCAGTAAAGGATTGGGACTTATTTGTTCCTAGTGTACAGCTTACAAAAAATGCAAAAATAGCAAAAAGACCTGGATCCGCTCCATACACATTAATGTTTGCACGAAAGTTGAATGGCTTCAATGACTATACAAAAGATGGTCAATTAACACCTGCATCAGAAAAAATGCTCATGGAACGCATCAAGAATATGGAGAATATAGTTTTTCTTGCAATAAGTGAACGCGTACAATCTCTTAATAAGGCACAGCAAAACAAGTTCGATAAAAAACATCACTTAATTGATTTCCCACCTAACAGTCATGTAATGATTAAAGAGAGAGAAAAGGCAGGAAAACTAAACCCAGAATATAAAGGTCCATACACAGTAGTAAGACGCAATAGAGGTGGCGCATACATAATTAAGAATGAACAAAACGAGATAATGGCACGCGAATATGCATCATCACAGCTAAGATTAATTTCTCAAGATGAAATTATACCTTGTGATGAACTATTTGAGGTGGAGTTTATAGTGGCTCATAGAGGAACGGCACCCGGCACATATGAGTATAAAGTACGCTGGAAGGGTTACAAACCAGATGAAAATATTTGGGAATCTAATGAAGCATTCACCCAACGTGCCACAATAAACAATTATTGGAAACGGCTTGGAGAACAACCCAAGCAAAAACAGGTACAGAAACAAATCCAGCACAAAAATAACAGCAAAACCACACAGTCTCTTAAAAGAAACCACAGTGGTGAAAAGACACGTTTTGTCAAGCACAAATCTGTTCGGCTATAAAAATAAGTAAACTTATATAGGTATTACACCTACTGAATATATCTTACCTAATACCACAATTACAAATATCTCCCATAATACAATATACCAGGCAAAAGCAGCCCCTGAGTGCAACCTAGAAGGGGGTAATGTGGTAAACTAAAATCCGGTACAGACAGTTGTCTTGATAGAAAGTTTCTCTTTACCGCACCGGGATCCAATAAGGGACACGGTTGCGCACATGCACCTAGCTGGATTGAAATGTGAATTCTTCATGTAACTCAGTAAAGAAACCAAGTATGAAACAAGCGTCCAAGAACACATCTCAAACCATCATAAAAGTTTTTAATTCGTTCTCACAGCAAAGCACAAATAAGGTCCTTGCTGACAATGAAGTTGATAAGCTTTCCACTTTCAGATCTGTTTCTCTGTTAAGACCGAGTTCTCAAACATTGTTTGAAAGTTAGATATAAAAGAAGATAGTTTCTATAGCTGATATTGTACTTCATTCAATCTTTTGAATATAATCCATTTTCAAATGATTTATTTGTCTTTGTTTATTTCGATTTACCACAAGTGGTGTAGTAACAGCACAATCGCCAGACAGATTGCTGAGCTATTGGTGCCACTATCAGAAGCCATGTAAGGGCATTATGATTGTCAGCTGTTCTTGGATCAATCGGATTTTGACTATGCTACGGGAGTAAGCGTAGTTGGTTGGGAGCCGCTGCCACCATCATATCTTCCCCTCAAGATGGGCAAAAAGGTGTACATGATTACGCACCACTACCACTGTCTTGTCGAGTATTACCAATCGATGTTTCCAGACATGAATTTTGTGTCACTCGCCAGCACTAGTGGTAATCAGGTCAGCGATCACCTCTACAAATTTGCAAAAGTCGATCTCCTGGGTCAAACGTTCATTTCCACAATGTCTCGCCACATCAATACCAGCACCTATGTCTGAGTCGTTTGCCCAAGTACTCAGTTTCATACTGAAGCGATCGTTCGTCCTGGGTGCATTCTATATTTCTTTGTCTACAACCTGTGCAATCCCACCAATGGTAATTTCTACCAGTTCGTTTTTGCTTTTGTTGAGTACCTATGACCAATTACGCAAGTCTTTGAGTTGTTTACGATGCTAGGCATAGACGTCTACCATTTAGAAATCGTACCATATATGTGGCAGTGTGTTGTTCCTTTGGGGAGGCTCCATTCTGGCGTAGTTGTTACCCCTATATAAATAGACAATAGCTGTGCTCTTACATATTTACCACGTAAAATAAAAGTAATCTACTCTTAAAAGCAAAATACCTCAGGTCAGGTCTTTTTCTTTTTTGGCTTCACGCTGCTGTAGTTGTAATAAAGAATAAAATAAAAAAGAAGTTCTGAATTATAGAAATCGCTTCAGATTTAAAAAGCATTTTGAAGGAATTTAATGCGATGGTGAATCAAGAAACTTGTAGATGGTCAAATAAATAAAAATGTTGAAGAATTTGATTTAGTAATTGGCAAAAAAAAAGGAGAAGAAAGCAAAGTGGTGGAGAAAAGCATAGTGACGGGTAAAAGTCTCTGAGTGGGAAGAAGCATAGCAGCTCAGGTGGTGTAAAAAAGGGGTCATCCCAGATGGTCTTGAGGAAGAAGGATTTAAGTAGGGGAGCCAATTTTATCCATTTGCTGCATCACAGCTCTGAAAGCGCACTGAAAGCACTCTGAAAGAAAATTATCACTGAAAGCACACTGAAAAAAAATTCAGAGTACACTGAAAGCACTCTGAAATCAGGTTTTAACTCTAGTGCTCACGGCGGGAAGCAAGCGATATAAGAACATCTTATACCATTCTTATACCAGTGGTATAAGAGTAGTATAAGGATGGTATAAGAAGTGGTATAAGAGTGGTATAAGAAGTGGTATAAGAGTGGTATAAGAATGGTATAAGTTGCCATTTGTTTACCTTTCTTATGCATGCTCCTGCAGCTCTGTGCATCAGGGGCTACGGCCTATGGTTGGCTGATATCCTGTGGTGGTATTGGCTGTTGAGCACACATTTTATGATGGATCCAGCATATTTATTGGCGAGTATTCATCTGACGTAGCATAGATCATGAATAATACACAACATCTGATTTGCAGACACTGGTTAATATATGTATTGCTCATACTTGCATATAGCCAATAGTACTCTTTATTTCGATACGTTTGTAGGATACTACTGCCATGTCAGCAGCAGAATGATGTTCCCCACACAACCAACCATACAAAATAAAGATATAATACTGGGATGTGCGAAAACATAACACTAGGGGTGACCGGAATATAGTAAAGCTAGTAGAGAAATAGTCATGGAAATAGAAAATGGGAATACTACAGAGTAAAAAAGAGAAACTTGTAGACTTGATTGCATGGATATCTTGAGAACCAGGTGTCTTGAGAACCGGATGTCTTGAGCAATGCCTAGACAAGATGACCTAGTAATACATGAAAAGAGAAGAAAAGAAAGAGTTAATAGTAAAAGTTAGTAGCATAATACAAATGTTAGTAAAACCTATATCTACAAAAGAAAAGAAGATATAATTATGAACTACCGTGAGGAACTGAAGACTCAATTTCAAAAATAAAAGATCTCAGATTCTCAGGCTCTCAAGCTCTCAAGCGCGCCCATCAAAGTATACTGTTCTTGAAGTGTCGAAGCTCAAAGATAAAGCTCAGATGGGAAGATTGTGGTGAGATTGCAAAGGTGTGCTCAAGTAGACGGAATTAGTGAAAGCAACATGAAAGGAAAAAAATAAGGAAAACGGGAAGAAAAGAGTAGTGCGTTGTCTTGGAGCACTTTTACATGCAATATATTTCTAATACCAACGAATTTGTAAGCAGACGCAGACAGGAACAAAAATAATTTTATTGCTATTTGTTATAAGCTTAACTTGGGAGCTTGCTCTTTGCTTTGCTATCTAACTTCGTCTTGCTATCAAAACACACATTGTTCCATCAAAGCGAGCCGCTCTGCTACCTTGAGAGATTTTCTTATCCAGAGCAGCAAGAAAATTGTTTGCCTGAAAGAAATAGAAAATCCAACAATGAGTATAAAATCAACAGCTGTGATGCGGTTCTGTACGACATATATTACAAGAGCACTACGCCAGACAGGCCGAGAAATAGTACCAGATTCTTCGTCGTCTGACATGTAGTCCCCACAAAGAAGGGCTTCTGAGGACTCCCGAAAAACAGCAAGTAGGGGTCGCAATTGGACGGGTCAGGACGGGTCAAGGGTCTGACCGTTGACCCACGGGTCAAGAAAACACTGACCCGACCCGACCCGTTCAACCCGATGGGTCAAAACTCAGGTTGACAGGTCACTACTGATTTTGATTTGGTGACAAAGGAGGTGTCAATCAACCTGAGCTTGAGCACTGGAAGTGCAAAACTACATGTATACACAGCTCTCTAAGATGATGGCACGCAAATTACTAGCAGTGCTAGCAATATCTACGTTTTGTGTGATTATTCTTAAAGGTAAAGGGATTTGTGCCATAACAAAAGAAACCGTTTGCGCTCACATGCATTAAAGAAAGCATAATGGTTAAAGTGTGGTTAAAAATCGACTTCCTTTAAATGCCCCTAATCCTTTTCCCTTTTCCCTTTTCTTTTCATTTCTTCCTTCGTCTTCCACTTTTCTTTTCTTAATTCCTTCTACGTCTTTTGTCAAATCTCGTCTCTCACTGCCACTCTCTATTGTCTATTCTCATTGTACTATTGCTACTTCTTTACTACTATTACATATATTGCTTATAGCTTACTTATCTTACACTTTTGAATATAAAATATGATCCCACAATGAAAAAGAATATAAGTACGTTTTATGTTACAGTTCTATAGCAGACATATTGACAACTACATCTTTAATATAATGATCCTTCCCAACAAGAAGATTGACTACTTGAATACAAGTACCTCATAGATATCATATGTACACACAGGTTACAACGGGTCAACGGGTCGGGTCAAGGGTTAGACGGGTTGACCCATGGGTCAGAAAAGCATCAACCCGACCTGTTGACCCGTCCTCAACCCGTGGGTCAGATTGCGACCCCTAACAGCAAGCACAGGATCAGTACATCGGTGTTCCCAAAAGCATTGGAGACGCTCCATAGCCAACTAAAAATCATTTTGAAAAGTGAGTTCTTTGATTATTGAGTATCGAATAATTTGGCGAGAGAAAACTTTAGAGAATAGTATACTTACACGTTCCCGTACTAAGGCCCTTCTTCGTATTGCTCGAGCTTTTGCCCTTGTTTCGGGTGCCACAGTTTTCATTTCGGACTTGCACGATAAAGCTGTGGTCAGTGCGGCCTTCATTTTGTCCAGGCTCCATTCGCAATGCTAGTACTCGGGTTGGCGCAAAACATGATGCATCACTTCATAGCCGATAGTCAGGTTTGGCTGCTGTAACGGACTTTCACCAAAATCCCAGCACGATTCAAACTTGCCTTGATGCCAAAGCTCGTCATATCCTCACGTAAAGCACTCTAAAATACTGAGCAAATAAACTGTGTGAAAAATCAAAAAATTGAAGCCAACACATACCATCATCACTTTACAGTGACGACCGTGCAATCTGGATTGATCTTGCGCATTGTGCATGCTATCAATGAAGGGAAGTTGTCCGTTGGCTGGCATGTTTTATAAGTGACGTGAAAAATGAAAGGTTATGCTTCATGAGTAGGTGGGGAAATCTCATATTTATATATGAACAGCTGCATAAACAAATATATTCATCAAAAGAAAACAACCCGTTCATCCCTCATCCACGTACACCAACGTCATTGCTGTACGCATGCTGAGTAGCCTATGTTGTTCACTGCACTGATGCTAACGATAGAGCACACTAATATATTTATGCACAGCATAAATGGCATCCCTGCCTTCTGTTCGAAAGGAAAAGAGAAAACGTAGGTACTGGTTACAGACGCGTTGATTTGAGAGGAACTCGGTCATGGTACCATATCTGGCAAAGTGCATTATGCATCACTGCCCACGTTCTTTCTCGATTGCCGACTGTTTTGAAAAAAAGCAGCCCAAAGTAATGTATCGGCGACTAGTTACCAATAGGAATTGAGCTGTACACTTGCATATGTCAATATGGAATTTGGAATCGTCGAGATGGCGAAATAATTGAGAACAGTGTGAGCCACAGAAAAGAACAATAAATTTATTCAGTATAAGCCCAAGAAGGGAGTTTCTGTTTCAATTGGTATGGCAATTTTCTATTGTTTTGAATGACGCGCTTTGTGGAACGCACCACGCCCCCCTGTGTGCTGTCGACAGCCTTGAGAAGCGCATTTGCCTGGAACAGCTTTCAGTACATATTGTAAATATGCTCATGCACTTTATGTTTACCTGCTCACTGCGCCAGTTAGGGACGCGACATGGTATCCGACCCTTCATCGTCAGACATAAACGCGGCACAAAAAAGACTCTCTGGCTCTTGATAAATGGTCAAAGCGGGATCGTTTTTGTGCTGCTGATACCATCTTCTGCGCCTGTTTGCCAGCTATATAATATGTCATTAGGACATTGCGAGAGTTTACAATATGATTATACTTACTCGAGGTCTTGCCATATTCTTTCGCCTCTCATCCAGACGTTCCGCTTTAACCTCTTGAGGGGCGTTTACTTCGTCCTTCTTGTTTACAAAGGATTTCGCAAGCGCTCTCCTCAATGTAGGCTCACGCCATTGGTTTCTACGACCGTCAGCACCGTTTAGGACATAGCTGATTACTTTGCTTGCTATGCTGGCGTTCGGCTCTTCTGTCAACGTTCTAGAAAAAGTCCAGTCTATTGTGCTGTCATGCCTGTTCAAGACACAGTATGCCCCTCTGAGTGCAGCCTTTCAAGAGGGAAGAAAAGAGAAACAACAAAACCACCTTTCCCGTGTGAATAATCTGTAGCGAGAAATCAACACCTTCTAGCAAAAATCAATAGCGTACCATCATATCCTTTCTGGCATACATGTCTTCAGGGATCAACCTATCAAGTTTTTGCTCCATATCATTGAGCCGCTGCTTCATGGCTATAGATTGGCTCTGTTGTTGGCCAAGTTGGCTGCTGTTTTGCATGATAAAATGAAAAGAAAATTGATCAATAAGAATGCAGAATACGGTCATATTTTCTAGGAGAAAGTTGCATGTTTTATACTACTACAGACGACTCGATGATGTAACCACATTGGCAAAAGCTTCTATGTGAAGTAATTACAATGTATGTTCATAGTCACTTCTGTTTATACAATAATGATGTCGATGGTTTGATGATGAGTACATAAATCTAAATGATAATACGCATTGATGAAGATAGTTTCACTGTGCTGAGTTCCGACCATGATAAAGGTAGTATGTATGATCAACTTGAGTAATACTTGGTGTATCAATTTCCAAACAATGTTGATGCAGTATACACATTGATCTAGGGACGATTCGGTGTGCATTCTATATCTGGGAGTGTACATGTAATGATGCCTTTAATCTAAAATCGAAAACAAAACCCCTTGGATCGCTTAACGCGTATTCTAAACCTAATAAAGCAAGCGATAGATCATGTAAGAAGCAATCATACGGTCGAAGCAGATGATGGCTGATGCATCACTTGTAATGGTGCTGATATATGCATTGATCCACAGAGTACCCGGATAGTGTTCCATATATGGATACTTACGTGCATCAATGCGCTTTTTCAAATATGAGAGAAAGAAGGGTAGAAACAGCTGCTACTGGCTTGTAAACGATACGACGATGGGTTTATTAAGCAAAGATAAAAAGCCAGATACTGTTATAGTGTTCACTATACTAGTTACCACCGTTATACAATCCAAAGTCAATATACTTACCTTTACAGCGGGGATGTATGCGTCGTAGAGATTCCGCCATAAAAGGAAATATCAGGCGCGTGCATTTATGCATAACGAGACTTGTCAGTAGCATATATTCGTATGTTAGTGTTGTCGTTATGTGCCCAAAGCGCATGTATTGACATTACTATAATCCGATGGTATGCTTGCGGCCAAAAGCACATAAACGGACACGAAGAGAAAGACAAGGTACTTTATGCACAATTGCATACTTGCATCGATGGCCATATGCTTCATGAATCCTGATCATGGTCCAAAAAACCATATATAAGAGTAGCCACAATTCTTCATTCCATATACGTCGTCCACCCTTACCATTATTATTCCATCCATAATGATATCTTTATACAACAAAGCCTTGTGCGTATGTGATGTCTGTTACAATCCAACAACGGGCCAAGGAACTGAAATACCGGTGCGAACAAAAAAACGATCACAAAACACGCAATGGGTTTAGCAAGTATAGCAGCGCTCGAGGGCAAGGAGTTTATCCACATGCGTCGAGTATTCCTTACCTGGCGAATCCGAGCGAAATTGGTAAATGTCATTTTTATATTCTGTTTCAATAATTCAGGTTGACGACGATCCAATGGAGGACATGGATGCAATAAGTCCTGATCTCTCAAATTTACCTACTGTACCATTAGACTTTAATATACTGGCTGAACAATAAGGTATGATCTAAAGAGACAAAACTAAAAAAGGGGGGAAGTCAGTATCAATTGGGTATCAGTATCTCATGATATTGTGTGTAACATTAATAGATCCACCACCAAACACCAAAATCGCGCCAAATGCCTTCACACCACAGAATCCTGTTCTGAATATAATCTACCTCTTCATTGCCTTGTTCCAACAGCATTACCTGTCCAGAGCTGCTGGTGAAATCTTGCTTGCGTTCATTGCTATCATCTTGCCCAACATCCATTTTCCCAAGTCGATGGCAACTTTGCGTCGTGATTCCAGAATCGAGCCCCTCTTGGACAGCAGTACTGGTTTTGTCGTCTGTCCTTCCTGTCATAGCCTATACAATGAACTAGTACCGCATTGCACTTTCCAAAAGTCCCCACATCATGCGATGCCATCACGTCAAGACCCATGCAAAGAGAAGTTATTTGTTTACTTCAACCAATAATACGTCGCACGAAAAGTGTACGCATACAACCCGATTACTGCAAGTCTGGCGCGCTTGATGCGGAGGACCGGATTTGCCAACAAGGTAGAGCACTAGAGATATCGCCTGTCGCGACCTAGTAGCTTGGATGACGTCTATGATGGCAGACAATGGTTCACTGTACCCAATCCTGAATCTATTGAATCCGACTTTATACCGTTCGTCGCCAGCCCATATTCATTGATGCTCACCCTCAATGTTGACTGGTTCCAAGCTTTCGACAATGATGTATCTTACTCGTGTGGTGCCATATATTTGACTGTCAACAACTTGCCGAGAGACGAGTGATCCAAAAAGAAAACGTCGTTATAGTTGGATTCATGCTAGGTCCTCACGAGGCAACAAAAGAGCAGATAAACAATTACCTGCGCCGGATAGTTGATGAGCTCCTGACCTTATACCAAGGCATACCAATGATGCGATATGATCCTCTCGACATGGAGCTAGAAGTTCGCGTGCAGGCAGCTCTATTCATGGTTGCATGTGATATACTGGCGGCGAGGAAGGTTTCTGGGTTTACCGGTCCAGGTTCGTTCTACGGTTGTCACAAGTGCAACATCAAGTGGCCATCCTAAATAGCAAATCAGCGACTGCACGACTACTCCAACTTTCAGCTACTATGGGAACCAAGAAACCAACAGTAGAACCGGATAGATACCGGACGCTGGAAAGCAGCAACGACGCAAAAGGGAAGACAAGAGCTGGAAAACAACAATAGAACAAGATGGTCCGAGTTGCACCACCTCCCATATTTCGATCTAGTTACCTCCACTATCATTGACCCCATGCACAATCTGTTTTCTGGTACGGCTTCACGAATGGCAAAAGCTTGGGTTGAGCAAGGACTTTTGACAAAAGAGCATTTGGTGGATATGGAGACGGAACTGAAAAAGGTCGTACTGCCACTGGGATATACTGTTGGATCTGGCTGTATTTCTACCCAATTCGCTGGTATGACATTGGATGAATGGCGAACATGGACAGTTGCGCTTTCCCCCGTTCTGCTCAAGTCCAAGCTACTTGGGGAACATTATGATAATTGGCTCAAGTTTGTCGAAGCTGCGCATATCCTTTGCCAACCCTCAATCAAGATTCCCAATGTCGACATTGCTAAAATCCGCTTGCTGCAGTTTTGCAAAAAGTGCGTCGAACTGTACGGTCTGGAGTTTATCACGCCGAACATGTACCTCCATAGCCATATTCGCAATACTGTCCTCGATTTCGGTCCTTGCTATGGATATTGGCTCTTCAGTTTCGAACGGTATAATGGTATCGTCAAGAACCAGAATACCAATCGCAAGGATCATTTTGAAGTGACGTATATGAGGCAGTTCTTGATGGATGTGTATAGCAACGATCTTGTGCATCACTATCGGCGACAATATTGCAATGAGCCCATGGTTGCATCAATTACCAGTCTTCTTGTACCGCCGCAAAGGAACGTTTCGGCCCAAATGACTACGTTTGATGTGCAATCGTTCTTGGACGCTTCTGATTTAGAGCATAATCGTCGTGGGCAAGGGCTGTTGGTGCATGGATCGGAGCTGCTGCCTCCATCAAGCTACCCTTTACAAACAGGCAAGGATATACACATGGACCTCCGTCATTACTGCTGATTGGTCGAGTATTATCAAAGTACAGTATCTATGGTGGCCATTATTTCCCGCTTGGTCAAGAAGGAGACAATCTTGTGTACGACGTGATCTACAAGCTCCCAAAGATCGAGCTCATAGGCCAGCAGTTCATCTCGGAGATGACTCGTCACACGCGCGTGAGCACATACATCCATGTTGTTTTTGCTGGCAGCGAGCCCCAGCCTGGTTGCATCCTATACTTTTTCAAGCATAAGCTTTTAATCGACCAGCAAGATGTGGAACACGTCTTCGCTTTTGTCGAGTTTTTAAGAAGAATGAGACAGATTTTGAGTCGTTCTGGTTGAGAAATCTGCTGGTTTACTACCTAGAAATCCTTTCGTACGGCAAGGATTGCATCGTCCCCATACACAGGCTCCATTCCAGTGTCACAGTCTGCCCACTTCCATTCGATTGTAGCTGCACTCTTGTATATTTGCCTTGCAAAACAAAAATTGCTTACACCTAATCGATATATAGAAATATAACATCATCAGCATCTGTCCTATCCACATCTTATTACATATTTTTTAAATCTCTTTTGAAAATAAATACCAGGCTTGAAGAAGTATACATATTAGCAAGTCTTCTTCTATATAAGAAAAAATGTGAATAAGGGTTAGATCTGTAGATAAAAGGGAAACAACATACTAGTGGTCAAAACTTTCAGATACAAGAGTAAATACGTACTGAACTGATTACGTCGTTTTTTCTTCTTCATATATTTGTGCGGTGTTGTTACTAAGAAAGTTCATCAGAGAACGTTCATTAGTATCAGTGTTTTCTGCAATATACAGGTTGATTACTGGAGGCAATGCTGCAACGAATTCATTTGGCCAAGGTTAAAGAACGCGTGTGTGCAGAGTTGCTGTCCTTCCATTTCTACTCAATTGCTGTCTGGTTTACCTAATTTGATCAATTGATTTTATTTTTTTTTCATTTGAATTAACTTGTTGTACTAGATTCGTCGAGCATTCTATTAGTTTTAAAAGTAAAATCTGGTGAGATTACTGTCGTGCACTTGGAAAAAAAAATATAAAAACTGTGGAAGCAGACACAACGTAAAACAAGATGCTTATAACGAAACAATTGAAAATCTTACCAGGAGCACTTTTTTTAAACGTTCGTTATGACAACAGTGATGCTCTATTCTTATAAAGCTGCTTTTTATGAGAGAATTATCATTTAAAAATATATATAGAAAAGAAAACGCTCCCACCACCGTAGGGGTCGCAATTGGATGGGTCGGGTCGGGTCAAGGGTCTGACCCGTTGACCCGTGAGTCAAGAAAACGCTGATCCGACCCGACCTGTTCAACCCAACGGGTCAAAACTCAGGTTGATGGGTCAAGACTGATTTCAATGTAGTGATGAAGAAAGTATCAATCAACCTGAACTTGAGCGCTGGAAGTGCAAAACTCTATATATATATAGCTCTCTAAGATGATGGCACGCAAATTCCTAGTAGTGCTAGCAACATCTACATTTTGAGTGATTATTCTTAAAGGTAAAGGGTTTTGTGCCATCACAAAAGAAATCGCTTGGGCTCATATGATTTAAAGAAAGCATAATATTTAAAGTGTGGTTGAAAATCGACTTCCCTATATGCCCCTAATCCTTTTCCCTTTTCTTTTCACTTCTCTCTTCTTCCTTCGATTTTCTTTTCTCAATTCCTTTTCTGTCTTTTGTCAAATCGCGTCTCTTACTGCCACCCTCTATTGTATTTTCTCATTGCACTATTGCTACTTCTTTACTCCTATCATATATATTGCTTATAGCTTACTTATCCTATACTGTTGAATATAGAGTATAATCCCATAATAAAAAGAATTAAGTATGTTTGATGCTATAGTTAATAGTTCTATAGCAGACATATTGACAACTAATGATGCTTCCCAACAAAAAGATTGACTACTTAAATACAAGTACCTCATACATATTATATGTATACACGGGTCACAACGGGTCAACGGGCCGGGTCAAGGGCTGGACAGGTCGATCCGTGGGTCAGAAAAGCATCAACCTGACCCGTTGACCTGTCCTTAACCCATGGGTTGGTTTTGACCCACGGGTCAGATTGCGACCCCTAGACAAACGACGACTAGTAGCAGCTACTATATACCATCCAACCATTCAACAATAAATCATATATCCACTTCCTTGACACTATCCTTTAATTATCTCAGCATACTAGGAGAGGAAGAAGGAGACGACTCAACAGCATCAATATCATGAATAGCTATACGCCCAATAAAAAAATACCTTATCCTCTTGCTATTATCAATCAATTATCTCGACATACTAAGAGAACAGGAAGTTGAAGGCTCATTCAGAATGTCATAACCAACATCCATTTCATCAATATCCATATTATCTGATGCTTCAGACAGGAAAGGCTGTTCGCCTTCAAAAGTGGCTATGATAGATAGTGCTTACTATATTCACGAATCAACTGGTTACTACAATAATATCAACACTTAAAAATTAATATACCATTGTGCGATATTCTTTCTCTAGCCAAATTTACAGCACGCTGGGTATGCTGCTCTCATTGTATACGATAACCTCGCGAAAACCGAGAATGCTGATTCTGGTACATTCCACACAAAAGCATTCGACTCTTTCTGGATTATAATCCAAGATGGGAATGCAATTTGGACGAAGAACAACAAATTAAGATGATTCCTTTTTTTATTTTTTTTCTTCTTTAAAAGTCACCCCCGCAGTTGTCCCTTAATGGCTTCTGAAGTGGTCAGTTTTCATTTCTTTGCTCCTGTTACTACTGGACAAGAAATCCTTATATACTGTGTTATATATTATGTTTATACATCCACCGCATTATTGCGTTGTGCTCGTAGATAAACGTCATTTTAAAAAATATATATAATGCAGATATATATACGGCATACAATATTATACAAGCTTTTCTTCAACCTGAAGAGCGGTAAGATGTGTCATTCTGCATAGAATCGGGGACAGAGTTGCTGCTGTAAGCCCTGTTTATAGGGGATGTTTATATAGGGTAAGATGAAATTGTGAAAAAAAGGTGCGGATGTGACCCCCCCATCATCTATTTCCTAAAAGCAAAGTAACCAAAAACCATAGCATTGCTCTTAACACACTCATGCATTAGCGCGCTTTTCATTTACCAGTATGGTATAGCCTTGAATGCAGATCAGGCAAATAGTGCATATCTACTGAATTTAGTCTATGCAACCTCGTTAGTTTTTTACTTAATACCCCAATAGCTTGCTACCACATGTGAAGCTGTTTTCCAACCACTTGACATTTGGTTTTTCGCGCGGTGCTCTCCTCTACCTTTTTTGTGTTGCTCATGACCATTAAAAATTATTAATGCTGCGATTTTTTTTCAAAGGGCGCAGTCTTCAGTAGGGATCCATATCAGAACCGTAGAACCGGAACCAGACCGAAACCGAAACCGAACTGGTTTTGTATGCGTAGAACCGAAGAACCGAGAGGCAGAAGATTGCACTTGGCGATTTTGGTAGTTAGTATAAAGTAGGCTATAATGGAAGTTACAAACAATGCTACTCCTTATTAAAGACTAAGAAGTAGTGTATTTGCAAGCCATACTTTATTCAAAAACTTAACAAAACCTGCAAAAGCAGAAGGGAGGGAAAAATAGTAAAGAAGAGAAGAACAAAAAAACACTTCTTTTGATGGCAGCTTGCTTTCTCTGCCCATAAAATGCATCATTACTTAATCCTCTATTTTGCTACCCACAATGCATTTTCTCCATGACATACTACTTTACTAGATTCAGCATGGCTTACTCTTATGATATCTTCAGGCAAACCAATATATCTTTTTTATTCCTCTTATCAAGTATCATTATTGCATAACAGGGTTAACAGGGCAGAGCTTAACCCGAACTGTTTCTTCTGTTTCCATGTTGATTTTTCCTTCCTGTTCGTCATCCAATATGGCCAAATTGTCAACCTGTGTTTCCAGAGCAATCAACAAATACGCAACCATATTGAAGACGCCAAGCCATTTGTTTCGTTCTTCGTGATGAGTTGGGATTGTTGCTGTCAAAGCTTGCCTGTGGACGAATTTTCCTTAGTCATTCATCTGCATCTCAAATAAAGCAATTGTCGCTCTGATCGTTTGAATACTGTATACCCTCGTTTGTGAAAACGTTTGCAAACTTGAGTTCAAATGGGTATTAGCAATCCCCTTGACCATGGTGAGCATGTTATGAACCTGTTTGACGCTATCATCAATCGTCTTCAGTAATTTTTCCTTGTGTTGTCCCACGGAGCCTTCCATAACTAATCGCTCCATGGGAGGGTAACCGTTAGTGTTATGCTTTTAGTGAAATAATAAATAGGTAAAAAACTATAGGGAATACACTTTTAAGGAGATTATAATAAATAATAAAATTAATTTTTTTAGTAAGTTTCTCAACCATTAGGGTTAATCTCAACAATTATGTTTAATTCAACACTTATGGTGGTGGAACAGTAGTGAGCATTTCCCTCCTCTAAGCAAGGAACACCTGGACGCAGCTTAGAGTATTAATTCATAATAATAAATTATGTGGTAAACTACTAATTTATTTATTATTCATTATACTGTCAAGCGTTCAAATAAAAATCTAACTTTATTGATTTTTAAATGAACTGGGCGTCGTCGTACCTCCTAGCCTGTTTTACTTTAATTATAAAAAGAAATAACTCTTTTAAAGGTTTAAAAAGGTTATGCAAAACCTAAACCTTTTAAAGAATTAAAAAAAAAGTAAAAAAAAAAAGTTAAAAGTTTCAAAAATAAAAAAATTATAATCTAATTTTTTATTTTTTCATATATATCTTTAAACAATGATATATCCTTAAATGATAAAACCTTCTAAGGTTTTACAGTTAAGGATTAATCCCCTTAGCTTGACAGTATAATAAAATATCATAATATTATTATTTATAACAATATTATAGATATTGTTTATACTTCATGCTGGTCCAATCATATCTAAGACCATTGGCAAACCATGGTGTTCCTATTTGACAATATTCCGGATCTACGTCTACCAGTGCGTGGTGCCTCACTTCACACTCGCACCAGTCAAACATAAGCAAGCCAGTCTGATCGGCAAATGTCTGAAATACCAGAACAATTTGACACACCCACTATGTTCTTTCGTAATCTTTTCCTATATGCGTCATTGCAGCTGAAGTTGTTCCCAATGTTGTCTTAGTACAGTTGTGCACAAAGCTGGTCAACGAAAAACAAATCATTTTCCACAGCTTATGTTCTTGATTGCTCAATTCTGCAGGGGGCGTTTGTTGCCATAGCCATTTTGGTAAAGCTTGCGACTCTTGATCCAATGCGCTCAAGAGAAACCGATGCACATATTGAAACTTTTTGAGATTCTCCAATAGAGATTCCGGTAAACTTTCACGTTGAATGTCTACAACTGGTTTAAGTTCGTTGACCATGTGTTCGGGAATCTTGGGAGTGTTGGGTACATTAAGATAATTCTTTGATGAAAACGTACTAATTCGTTTGTTTGTCAACAAACTCACAGTCGATGAAAACAGTTGTTTTCTAGAAGAGTTGGTGTTGTTTGCTACTGATGAATCCGCTACTGAATTTGATCCATCATTTGCCTATGCTGCCGATGATTCCAGAGGCAAGTGGTTTGTGTCTATATGTTGAAGATAGTTACCATTTTCACCAAAATGGTCGAGACAGGACAGACATGCAAAGCGCTGCTTCATGTTTTCATGTGTTGAAAGCCCTGTGAATTTGACGAAAGTGTATTCTCTTGTATCGAAACGTCTTTCTCTGCGAGGTATTGCTGGTAAATGCAGTTGGTGCACTTGAAGTAAATGGCGACGTAAGTTTGGTGCATCTTTTACTCTTATAGAGCAAACATGACAGCAGTATATCAATTCAACGAGTAGCCGTTTTGATGGCTCTGTGTGGGACGAGGAGGCCGAAAGCGAAGTTGCCATAGCAATTGTCTAAACTGATTTTGTTGTGAAAGAAACAGTAAAGAGAAAATCGCGTCATGCAGCTTTTACAGTGGACTTTTTATTCAAAGTTATTTCTGACTAGCCAACACAGCCGCACCCGTATTATCTGCTTCTCACGCTTCATGGCTCTTTCCATTCTCAAATCAAGTTTGTGCATTCTGTCTGAGATTGCACATCCTGGGCCCATAACAGAATTATCTTACCCATTGACACTTTGCCTTTTATGCGACACTATATATGCGTAGAGACACAGTAGCTGTGTGTACTACTGGTTGTAGTTTGATTCCTCCAATGTTACCATAACGTATTGTACTAGTAATACTACCTTACTCTAGTACTATAAGCTCTACTTTTTTTTGTGAAAACTGTGCTTTAATGCAATGACCCATATTGTATATTAAATGTTTACATTCTGTTTCTCTTATTCATTTTGAAATCGCTGTTCAATGTATAATAATAAGCTATTCTTTTTTACTGCAGTAATCAAGTATACTGCAATATTTGAACACACATACATCAGCTTTCATTCAAAGATACTGGATTTTGCCTTTTTTATATACATAACGGGTTCGATTCTTCGGTTCTACGGTTCTCATTGGTTCTAGTCAGTTAGGTTCTTGCTTTGGACGGTTCGGTTCGGTTCCCTTTAAGAACCGAACCAAACCGAACCGAAACGTGTGGATCCCTAGTTTTCAGCAGAGCATCATCGTTGTGTTGAGTGAATGATGTGTCGTTATATTTAACAGATGGAGCATAATTATTGATGAAAGCATCATTGTTACGCTCAGTCGGTACTGTATAATGAATTTGGAAGAAGTATGTAGCAGAGAAGCAGGAAGCGAAGGCTAAGTTGAACCCCGTGCATCCTGAAGAGAATAATCCTACTGAAAGTAAGAAGGGGGGCCACTCCTCACAAGAAGGAGAAGAGGCTGTAAAATTTTTATTTTATTTTAGGAGATAAAAATCGGGGGACCAACCTAGCCTCAAATCTTATACTATTCTTATACCAGTCTTATACCAATATCGCTCTTATACTAGTCTTATACTACTCTTATACCAATGGTATAAGATATACTTATACCATCTTATACACCACTTCTCCCACCGTGGCTTGTCCAAAATAAATGAGGCCTCAAGGCACCACACACATCGTGTCACTCGACCAAAGCTTGAGTAGCTCAGTTGGGAGAGCGTTAGACTGAAGATCTAAAGGTCATGTGTTCAATCCACATCTCGAGCAGTACCATTTGTTTTTTTAATATGATTGTTGCACGATATGTGTTGAAGTCTTTTTGGCAGATCAATACTGTAGCCAATAGAAAGAGAGATAACAGAAGGATAAGAAAAGAATAAAAGATGACTTGGAAGATAATATTTATTGATTGATGACGAAGGGGATATTTATATGATTTCTATTGTTACTAGATGTGCTATAATGGCTACATGTTGTGATGAGAGACTAATATGTGTTCATGCAATAGACAACTACGTGTCTTGATAATCGTGTGTTAACAAGAAGCGACTATGTGTTTAAATGATGGAGAGGTATCACAAAAGGAAAAAGGAAAGACCAGCCAAATCTAGCTACAACATAGCCATAGTGTCGTATAGGATTTTTCCTTATGATTGGTGGTGCTTTTTTTCTCATGATGGCAGGGTTCTTTTCTTACTATGGCGTTCGGGGTTCTATTGATTGGCAGTATGTTTTTTGTAATTGGCAGAAGCTAAAAATTACAATGGCGGCCTGCTTTTTGTGATTGGTATAAGGTGAAAATTACAATGACGGTGTAATAAGATTTATGTGTCATACTAGGATAAAAGATGATTGGGGTCTAACTGGTAAGCCTTTATAACTATTTTGTTTTATAATATTATAAATTTCTTATAGTCAAAGTAATCCTTTTTAGCCGAAATAATATTTTTTATTAATTTTACTTTTTTTTTAAAAATTGAGTTTTTATTTATTATATTGAGTAGTGCTCAAAATATATATATAATTATTATTATCAAACTTTGACATTATTCTAAGGTTATTAGATTTCCCGGATTGCTCTACTAGAGTTAAAAGATCGAACAAAACAATGAATACTACTAATTTTCAAGAACAATTACAATCAGAAGTTTATAAGTTAGTAGAAAACAAATGGATGTTTTTAAATACAGAATGGCTATATATACAAAATAAATTTAATTACAGAACAGAAATTAAAAAAACTAAAAATAATAAAATTGATATTATAAAAGATATTCTTTTAAAACAGTTGGGTTACATTCCTGTATTTTACTTTTTAAATATTTTATATGGAAATAGAGAATATCCTGGTCCTTATAAAGAAATTGAAAAGGGTTTAATTTTATTATACTATATTGTATCAGGTAAATCTGGAAATGATATATATGAATTTATACCATATTCTACTTTTTATGATATATATAAACGTTTTTGGATTACTAATTATAATAATATTAATAAAGTTGTAAAAAAAGATTTAGATGAACTATTTTCAAATATTAAAATTCGTATTTTAGCAGCAAAAGTTAATAATCCACAAGGATTTAAAAATGTTACATTATTTCTTGATGGACATGATTCAAAAATTAAATATTATAATCCATCTGAATCATCCAAAACATTATATTCATATAAATTAAAAGGAAAAGGAATTAGAACATAAATTAAGTCAGATATGAATAATATGATCATATATGTATCAGATAGTGAAAAATGTGCTATAGGAAATGATGGTACAATGTTTTTGAATATGAAGCTCTATAAAAATAAGATATCAGAAGCAGATTGTATTAGTTTTGATGGAGGATATGATTTATTTTTTGAAAAATTTATTGATCATACTGATAATTATAATAGTAGTAATACATTTAATAATAGAAATTTTATGTATCCTATACGAAAAGAGCAAAATATATATAGAACTGTAACAGAATTAGATTATAATAAAAAAATTGGGTCATTTAGATCAGGAATAGAAAATCATTTTTCAGTTTTAGCATCTAAATTTGATCGTTTTAATAATAATAGAGCAGTAATTCAAATATCTGATAAAAATATTATAATTTACAATTAAGAGTATGTTGTATATTAAAAAATATATAGAAAATGGTAAATGATTATCAGATAGAAGTTCAACCACATCATATATTATGGTATAATGATGGTTTTGAATTTCCAACTAAAGAAACAAAATTAAATTATATTTTTAAGAATAAACAGTTAATTAATACTGAATATAATGAAATGTTAGATATACAAGAAAAAATTTTAAATATCAATATAGAAGATACAAATATGACATATGAAGAAGATGAAGTTATAAATAGAGAAGAAACAATAACCAAAAAAAGAAAGAAAATTAAGACAAAGAAAAAGCAAATGAAGAAAATATATATGAAGTAGAAAAAATAATAGATTATGTGATAGATGAGAGAGGAAAGTTTGTATTTTATGTTAAATGGTTAGGTTATAATGATGAAGATAATACATGGATTAAAGAAAGTAATCTTAATACAAAAACTATTATAACTGATTATAAAAATTTGAGTAATTTATAAATATAAAAAAAAGAAATCAAAAAGGTAATAATGGATCCTAATAACTTTGCTTACAATATAGATTATGATTTTCATTTTCATAAACTTAATACTTATTGAAATTTTAAAATATATTGGTAGAAATTTATTAGGAAGATATATTGAAAATAAAAATAATAAGATTGAAAATTTTAAATGATATTATATATATAGAAGAAATTGGTATGAGAAATCATTGTGATTTCTATTATATTAATGTTAATATTGCTCTACCAACTTATTATATAAAATTAACTGATAATTTAATAAAATTTAATAATGAAAATCAAATATTTAAAATTCCTGATATAATTGCTTTTTCAAAAATTATTCAAACTATTTTATATATAAATTAGGACTATAAAGATTATGCATATTATATCTTTTTTAGAAATAACTGAATATATTGTACTAATAAAGCTCTATTTATTTATAGAGATGAAATAGTCAATAATTTATATTAATTAATAATTATTTATTACTTGGCAATAATTTTTTTATCAAAATAATGTCATTTTAGTCAACTGCTATAGTGACTATTTCCTTATTTAATAATATTAATAATATATTTATTTGATTAATAGAAATTATAGATTAAAAAAAATTATAATGGTTCAAATTAGCCGCCATTGTTGGTTTTTTACTTTGCAATTTGAAAATTTATTTTAAAAAAAAACATATAAATATGAAAAAAACATGGATAACTAAGATAAAACTACAGCATTTTCTCTCCATCGATACAACGAGGCAGAAACGAAAGTGAATGTCTTATCCAACCTTGGCAATCTTGCGCAGAGACTTGATTAGCAGAGTCAACAATTCGTGGCAGCAACGTATCATCCGTTGTCAACAAATTGTGTTTGACACCGGCTTTCAGCTTCGACCAAAATTCTTCGATCGGGTTGAGGAAAGGGGAATATGGAGGAAGGTACAGGATATCAAATCCTTGCTTCGCCACTGCATCCCTCACTTCTGCTGTCTTGTGGATAGTGGCATTATCCATTACCAAAGTTCTTCCTCCCATGTTATTTTCCTTCAATACTTCCATGAGCACCTCCAAAAACCTGATATAGTGCTCTGCCCGCATACTGATCTTGCCCACAACCTTTTCCTCGCCATCACAGAGTTTGCGTTTTTTCGAGCCAACATCTGCCTGTGGTCTTCTAAGGCTGAGGTTGACAACGCCTTCACCAGTTATCGCTCCCAAGATCGTCATATTCACACCACGGGACCTCGAAATCAAAGCCCTAGCTGGAGCACCTCGACGCGAACGACCCAAATTATGCTTAATGTGCATATTAAAACCAGCTTCGTCAATAAAGATACACTTGTAGTAGTCCATGCCACTGGCTTCGAACGCATGCGCCCAATTCATGCACATAGTTTCGATACCAGACATAGACAACATATATAGTTTGTTTCCTGGATTATTTTCTATATCAGCATCATGAAAGTAACTATTCAGATTTGATTTTACAGTATCATGTATCCATAGCAACTCTGGATATATCTCTGTAGCCTTTCGCATATTAAGCTGTTTTGTAATTAATTGATACCCAAGTAATTGTTGATGCATTTTTCTAGTCTTAATTTCATAATTCGGATCTATATTGTATGTAATATAATTCATTCCTTTTATACAATAACTGATGGATTTTGCAGGATTACCACCAGGTTTTATATTTAGTGTCACACCATCTATAGTAAAGAATTTACGTGCTGTCTTTGTGTCAAATCGTTCATCCATTTGTATCTATATATGTACATGTTTCTCACTTGTTTCAGGGGTACCTTCATTACATGCAATTGCCTTTTCAATTCGATAACCAATATGTTCATGTTTTATAAACCATTCTAATACCTGTTCTTTAGTTAGGTGGAAATTCTTACAGATATATGTGAATAGTCCTTTAGTATTCTGGAACCGGAGTTCTTTCCCACCTTGTGAGGTACCCGTACTGGAAATGTTGCCATCTAACATTGTATCGGAAAATTGACGATTTGAGGATTTGAGGAATCTCACATATGCCCTAATTCTACTAATAATCTTTGATCAGCTTCGGTCCTTTGTTTTTTTGTCAATTTTTGTATTTTTTTAAGTCTTTTTCTAGTTCATCCTTTAGGTGGTCAACGATAATGTTAACATCATTAATATGTTGGTGATGTTCAGTAAGATGTGTAGCTCTTTCAATCAGGAGCATTAAGGTTATTCCTAAAATAGGAACGAATTCAGCCATTATAGTAAGAAATGTTAGTAAGTTAATCTGATCTATGTTGTATTGATTGTTGTGAAAGTGCTGTTAATATAAAAGATATATAGCAGATAAATTACGCTTGGTATTTTGAGGTGTTATTTTATATAATAAAAAAAATTCAATTTTTATTTTTTTGAAATTCTTAAAAGTATGCATGCCAAGACTATCATGCATAAATTAATTGAATAAAATTAATTTTAGCTATCCCAATTTTTCTTAGCTATATAACCAACTAGTACTAATAGACTAAAGCATAATCACTATAACCTTAGCCGGTCTCCTTGTCGCCACCATGTTTCTGCCTCACCACATAGTAAAGTTACCACGTATCCGATCCATTCATGTTCGCCTAACTTGGCCATCATCAGATATTGCTCCACCGCCGAGACCTAGTTCA